ATTCATGTCATGCCCATATACAGCAAAATAATAATAATAATAATAATAAAATTAACCCCCCACCCCCAGACAATGGTGCTGCTCCCTCTCCCTTTCACCTCTGTCTCTAGTGAAGAGGAAACTGGAGAGACTGAATCGTAGTAAGTCCCCAGGCCCTGATTATGTCAGCCCCAGAGTCTTGAAGGACTGTGCAGAACAGCTTTGTGGGATTCTACAGTACCTCTTCAACCTTAGCCTGACCCAGGAGACAGTTCCAGTGATTTGGAAAACCTTGTGTGTTGTTCCATTACCAAAGAAGACTCAGCAAACGGTCCTCAGTGACTGAAGACTTGTTGGCCTCTCATCGCACATCATGAAGGTCCTAGAGAGACCTGTTGGTTCACCTCAGGAAACACACAGCCATCAGGACCACCTACAGCTTGCTTACTGCCATGGAGTTGGGGTTGGAAATGCCCGTATACACATGCTTCAACAAACCCCCTGTCATCTATACAAGACAGACAGCCCTGTGGGGATCATGTTCTTTGATTTCTCCAGTGCATTTAACACAATTCAGCCTAACTCACATTGTGAGAAACTCCAGAAGACTCAGGTGGAAGCATCATCAATCTGCTGGATCAAAGACTGCCTGACAAACAGACCACAGTTTGTTAGACTGAGGGGTCGGCTGTCTAATCAAGTAGTCAGCAGCACAGTAGCACCACAGGTGACAGTACTCTCAACATTCCTTTTTACTCTGTACACCTCTGACTTCCAGTACCAGACTTGTCATCTGCAGAAATACTCCATTGACTTCAGTCATTGGGTGCATCAAATATGGACAAGAAGCTGAGTACAGAGAACTGGTGAACCACTTTGTGGCATGGTGTGGAAACAATCATCTCATCCTGAATGTCAACAAAACAAGGGAGATGACTGTAGATTTCAGAAGAAACAGGAACAAAATGAATCCTGTTAACATCATGGGAGAAAAAGTGAAGGTGATAGAAGAGTTTAAATACCTTGGTTTTCACTTGGTCAACAAACTATGGTGGAGACACAACTGTGAAGCCGTATACAAGACGGGACAGCAACGACTGTACTTCCTAAGGAAGCTTAGGTCCTTCTGTGTTTGAAACAAGATACTACATATCTTCTATAAATCTATTGGAGAGTAGGGATGGGTATTTTCCCAGTCCTGAATCAATTCGATTTTGATTCATACAGTTCTAAATCAATTAATTTCGATTCGATCTGTTTTTACAATAATGAAAGTGGTTCAACTGTGTTTCAAAATACTCATGTATTTTGTTTTTTTCCTGTCACATTAAATGCAAAGTGCAAACTTGTAAATCAGACCATTTAAACATAAGATGTGAAAAAAACTGTCTCAAAAGTGCAAACTTGTTTTTGACAAGTAAAAAAAAAGTGAAGCCTCACTCGAGCAAGCAGACGTGACACAGAAGACATGCATGAGCTGCATTATCTTCAATGCACAAACTGTATTTGCAGCGTTGACTGTAACAACTACAGGGTGTTTTCTGGTCAGCCCCCATTTGTTAATGTCTTCGGTCAACCAATTGGGTATATTTGCAGCTGTCTGGCTTGAAGTAATCTTGAGTGCATCTTTCCTGCTCATTTGAATATGAACGTCATGCGCGTCACTATAAAATGAATCGATCTCATTCCCTAGACATGGATTCAAAAACGATTAAATCAATTTTTTTACCCAGCCCTATTGGAGAATGTGATTTCTTCCTCCATAATCTGCTGGGATAACAGCATCAGATCAAATGACGTTAAAAAAGCTCAACAAGCTAAAAAAGAAAGTTGGCTCTGTTCTAGGAACACCTCCAGAACCTTAAGATTGTTTCACAAAGAATTCTTCATAAAGTGGAGGTAATTATGCATCTTCTTCAGAAAATTTTCAAACAGCAACAAAGTGTCTCCAGCAAGAGGCTTCTCAAGAACTTGTAGAAGACACACTGATACAGAAGAACTTTCTTGCCTACAGCTATCAGCTTCTACAATAACTCAATGAAAACAACATTTAATTTCCCTTTGGGATTAATAAAGTATTTTTGACTTGAATTTATCAGATACAAATTGTATTGTAGGGTCACGATTGCCTTCATTTTGAAAAAGTTATTTCAGATTTGCCGCAATCTAGTGTAATAATGTAATAATGTAGATCTAGAATTAAAGTCTTACCATGGTCTGAAAACTAGCATCCATGACAAACCAGAATCCATTAGACATATTGGTAGTCTGACATTTTTTTGATAGACCTCCTTTTAAATCCTTTGATAAATTCTCAGATTGATGATAACTTCAAGAGAAATTATGCAGTTTGTGGTTGTGGAGTTGCGGCTTGTATCCATACATCAATGGTGATGGTTATAGTTCATTGGTGTCTGATTTATTGTAGGCATTAAGGCAGCATTTACATCTTTTAGCAGACCTAGAGTAGGTGCTTTATCAAACAGTTTGCTAATCACAGGCATCTATTTTTTATGGTCAAATCAGTTTGAACAAGTGCAACAGGTCCTACTATAAATGACTAATCCCTAATTCCTGATTTGATATGTCTAATTAGCTTTCCTTTACTGCAAATCATCAACCTCAAGGTGTGGCTGGGCATTTTTTAAGGCAATGTGTGAAATCTTCTTCCGTCTCCTTTAACCACAGTTGGCTTTTACAGATGGCCCCTCACACTGAGCCTGGTTCTGCTGGAGGTGTCTTCCTATTAAAAGTTTTTTTTCCTCTCTACTATCGCTACATACATGCTCGGTAACAGAGTGATTGCAACAGAGTTAATGACAAAATGCGAGTGAATATTGACCCATAACCTCATCGAGGAGGAGAATGTCTTGCAAGTCAATGATTGGATGTGATCAATTGGTTTTCCTTGATAGAAAATTTTACCCAATCTGACTCTACTGTCTCTGTGAATTGTGGCAATATAAATAAAATTATTACTATTACTATCTTTCTAGCCCAAATTTGTTTAAGTCCATGTTTCATTCCAGATAAAAAAATATATTAAGTTTGCTGTTAATCAGGGACAGGTTTTAACAGGCATGGCCATTTTTCCAGTCATTATCTGCCATGTATGGACTGTACATAAAATGCGACTAATGTTTTAGCTTATACATTAAGGACTAACATAAAATCAGAGATGGGAAGTAACGAAGTACAAATACTTCGTTACTGTACTCAAGTAGATTTTTCTGATATTTTTACTTTACTTTACTACTTATTTTTATGGCGACTTTTTACTTCTACTCCTTACATTTTTACACAAATATCTGTACTTCCTACTCCTTTCATTTTAAAAAATTGTCTCGTTACTTTAGTTTTGAATAATCTCAATGGAGTTACCGTTATTATTTTTCACGTCATCAATACCAAATTCAATCTAATTGGATGGGAATCTACGTTGCATTTGACGCACCACTACAAGATGAATCGACAGATTCGCCGGTATTCATTCGCGGCAAATCATTGCAGCTTGGTGGCGGTGGCGTTAGCATAGTAGTATTGACGACGAGATGATTGAAATTGAACACAACGGAGATCTAGTCCTATTGGCAGACATCCATTTAAAATGTAGGCAACGGCATGAAAAAAGTGGTTTCTACTTTTACTTTTATACTTTAAGTAAATTTACAAGCCTGTACTTTGTTACTTTTACTTGAGTAAAGAAGTTTAATCAGTACTTCCACTTTTACCAGAGTATTTTTTAACACAAGTATCTGTACTTTTACTCAAGTACGGAAAGTGAGTACTTTTGCCATCTCTGCATAAAATACTGGTAAGAAATAATAATCTCCATTGAACACTACAAGAGACATGAGGACCTACAAAAAATGCAATGGAGGCCATTCAATATACAGAGATTTAATCCATGTCAGCCATTTCTTACAAATGGGAAAGACGTGTACCATTTTCATAAACATACAAGACAAAAACTGGGATGGACAAACCTTTAAAGTTTATAATGTGAGGGACAGTCCAAGTTACGCATTTTAAAAGTCAGGTTAACAATGAAGTATCAAATCCTATTAACAGTATTTCACCTGCTGAATGAAGCTGCTGATTTATGAAGGAAAAGCTAAATTTTGATCAGTTATGACTGGAAGTGACAAGATTTTATCTATAATATAGATTCAAAATGTTCAGTTGTTGCAAAACTGTAGCACAGCATTTAGGCTAGCCTGTGGAAAACCAATTTCTCTTTGAACAATGAGTCCGTTGGATGTAATAAAAAAATCCTAAAATGAGTTCATAAGAATTCTGACTATTTTTAAATATTTACCAACTTTATCTGAAACCACTTTTCTTCACCATCCAGGTTGCGGCAAGAAGTCCACTCGTAATATTTGAGAAGTTTTATTTTTCTTTTTTTCCAATATTTCTTACAACATTACAGACATCACAGATTACATAGGTTTACAAACACAAAGCACACGACCATCTTGGCTGCTGATGCCGCTGCAGTAAAGGGCGAAAGGGAAAATGCCATGGGTTTTTGAGATTGCCAGTACAGCCTTGGGCATCTTTCTTTTAAAGAGCCTTTACTCATGTCTAACAAAAAAAAAGTATGCAACTGGACCTTTTCCTTGGGATCCCTTTATGTAGCACACCATTATGGGAATATTAGGAAAACTTTCCATCTGAGACATGTAAGGGATAAAAATAAGTGTTAACTATGATCTGATCATTGCGTTACTCCAACTTCGATGAGGAAGAAATGGTTAACAGAAGAAGCTTGGCTGGAAAATGTTTTAAAGAACATTATCAATGGTCTGCATGGTTCCAGGAAATGCTGGACAAGAGGAATCTCACCTTTCAATTAAAAACTAACATCTGTCCTTGCTTTATGATCTAAAATAGTTCCTCAGGGCACCCTGCAGAAAAGCTAGATCACCTAAATCTCAACCATCTAATCTTGAGTATTTATTATTTTATCTTTTTATTCCTGTACATTCAAATAAAACTTCCACAGATCTTGTATGATCTTTTTTTTTTTTTTCAAAAATACAGAAGGCTTTTTATTTCAGCCATTTTTTCCCAACCAATACATTACTCCCAAACTGGCCTCTGACTTAAAAAAACAAACAAACCGATTTGAATGTATACTTTGATGTGAGTCTTTTAATGGTGATGTGTGTGAGTGTACAAGTGTGTCTGAACTCCATGTCATTTACACCCAACATTGTAAACTTACATAGAACTATATTACATGTGCTTGCACTGCATTTTGGATGGGAGAGAATTTTGGTTTACTTCACTAGAACACCACAAAAAGGGACAAAAGAGGTTTAGGAAAAGAAGGAGTGGAGAACAGCAAGTGTCAAACTTCTTTTCAAAGATTCTGAGGGTATTCTCAGTTTGGTTGAAAGCTCAATCTTGGGTGGCTGGTCTAATTTTCTTTTTGAAACACTCAAGCAGAAGTTCTGTGTGGAGAGAATTAGCATTTTTAAAACAGGAAAAAAAAACATAAAAAAGAAATTAACACAAAGAAGCTTTCTGTCAAGTCAGTCAGTGTTGCACCTGCTGTCCAGCTAGAGTCAATTTTGAAGAAGCACGGGAAAAAGTTCATCCCCAGCAGCATGAAGCTATCAGGAGTCAGCAGGACTTGTTTTTTTTTTTTTTTTTGGTTGGGTCGGTGGGAGTCTCCACTGATAGAAGTCCTTCAGCAGAAGAAATCTGTTAAGAATCCTGGACTTCTGGATTCCATATTTCCTTCTCTTTACGCAAATAAACGATCAGTCAGCAAGTATCCACAAGTCACCTCTTAAAGAGTGTCAGCCTCCAAAAAGAGTCAGGGGAGCCTCAGAGACCGCCATATTGTCTCAGAATGCTCTCAGAGGCTTAGAACCTACAGTCCACAGGAGAAAATTAATTGTGACTGGGAAGAGGTGGAGTCCAGAATGAGAGAACTGGAAGAATGAAGAGGCAGCCGCTGAGCTCTTTACAGGTAGACACGCCTCAGGTCTCCAGGTGAGGTGATGGTGTTGCACTGCGGGCATAGCTTCTTGTTACCCTGTGGTGAATGGAGAGAACAGTTAGTGGAGGAGCTAAGAACAATTGCAGCTAAAATTTGCATTTAAAATTAAGCTCTTTTATCAAGCCAAATGCTGTTAGGGTTACACAGGAATGATATCTCAAAATTGAATCTTTTGGAAAAGTGGGTTCAGTTTAGAATTTTTACTCACAACAGTTAATCATGCACAAAATACATTTTTGGATGTACAGATCCATATTTCTTCACTTCTGATCCCAATTTGAATCCGACACATCTGACTCAGAGCTCTGTTTGCTTTAAGGTGTAAACGTTCACAGGAATTTCATTGGTTTCAACATCAATTGGTGAAACTTTACATTGCTTGTTTAATGACTCCAGAAGTGATTCCTCCTGGCTGTGGCTAATGTACTTTAACCCATAGCTAAAGAAAAATGTTTGCGCTCTCTACTGGGGGGCTTTTGAAAATGATTTAATCAATTTGTTGCATTGTTGCTCATGACTAACCTTCTGCATCTCAGTAAAACGGACTCGCACCATTCTGTCCTGTGTTTTCTTGTGTTAAAAGTTTTTACACTGTAGGGACGATATGATGACGTCAATCTCAGGTGGATGTAGAGGGCAGAGGCTCTAATTTCCCAACTCTTAATTATTTTTAATATTCATGTATGTGCTTGTTAAACTCTAATATTACCTGCCTGTTAAGTGTCAAGACACATTTTTTCCCCAGCAGTTTATCTAATTAGGACAGCTCTTAGACAACTTTTATTGTCCAAATATTTTTTTTTAGAACAGCTTTTCAGATAGTAAATGAACATTTTCTTCTTTCAGGATAAAAAGTATTGATCTTCATTATGTACGTAACAAAGATTTGGGAAGGAAATAGTAGCATACATACAGAGTAGGGGTGGAACGGTTCACAAAATCCACGGTTCGGTTCGATTCACGGTTTTCGGTTCGGTATATGTTGATTGTTACCCGAAATCCCATAAAAATTAATGAAATTAATGAAAAAATCCTGAAAAATGTAATGAATTGTAATTTTTTTTAATGATCCGCGGAAACCCTGGATCATTTCCATGTTTTGCTACTTTGAATTTAATAATCTCGCGCATGCCCTCTACGATCTCCAAGGAACTCAGAGCGGAGCGGACGGGAGCCACAGTGGAGGCCGTAGGCTTTGCTTTGCGCAGCCGGTCTGGAGCGCAGCAGGGCAGAGCGGAGCGCTGACGGAGTATGCGGGATTTCGGGGTTAGCCTGACATGTTGGTCATGTTGCTGTTGCACACTGTTTTTATCCACAACTTTCTTTCCGCCGTCATCGTAGGTCACTCTAAATGCAAAGTGGTCCCATACAGCAGACCTATAAAGTGCTGTTGGCGCGTCTTCCAACTCCTGTTCTTTCCCACTTGCCATACCCACATAATTCTTTCTTTTTTCCCTGCTACACCCAGCTACGCTGCTTCACTTCTTCTTCTT